CAAAACACACAAAAATAATTTTCTTCTCTGGAGAATGCATGGAAGAATAAGAGAGATTGCATTGGGAGTGATTCATCAAAATCTTTTGTGGATTTTCACCAAAAACATCAATGACAGTGGCCCTATTTAACATCCCACTAAATCAGTTTTATTAGACCAGGATGAGCACAGTGGGCCTCAGCTCACATGTTCTCCAGCATGGCTGTGAAGCATTTATTCATCACAGTTTAGTGTCTATCCTGAACTTTATTATGTGGTTAAATAAAATTAGAAGCAGAAATTTTAAATTCCTCTTCATGACTTGTCAAGGGGAAAGGGGGAAATATCAGGGGTCCATGGCTCACTATAGCTTGATCCCACTACTCCTTTGTTTTAACAGGACATATGATCCGAATACTTTCTGAGGATGGAAAATTATCATCCTAATCCAATTATGTTGAATTTCAAAAATCTAGCTCATTTTTCATTTCTAGCCAAATGCAGAATTGGCAGCTTGGTCCATGACAGAACTTTTACACAATAATTCCACTCCTTCTTATTTCTACCAATGGTGAAGTGACAAAGAATCACCACAAACTGAAATAGGAATTAATGTTATGGAAAAGGCTGTATGTGTTGTTGCAGAAAAGTAATATCAACAACCACAACAACTTCATATTCTTTGCTTTTTTACTTTTGGTTTATGATTCTTATTACTATTATAACTTAAGTGCAATTCAAGCTTTGGGATCAGAGCCAGAAAAACCTAATGTATACCATGTCATCTCAACTTCAACCTGTAATAACAGGGCAAAAATCAGGAGAACCCGGTAGCTGTTTACCTCTGCTGAATTTTAAAAAAACAGCCATTCATATTCACTCATCAAAAAAATGGAAGTAGAAGAAAATATTATGGTCATGTTCATTTGTTTTTTGATTACAAAATATATGTAAATTAAGAACAGCCATCAAGCTCTGGAGCAATGCCAGAACAGTTATTAGTATCATAAAATTGAAGGAAGGTGCTAACAGGGCATTGTGCGCCTGCAAGAAAAAGTCAAGCAGCTGCCATCAAGCCCATCTGGAACAGGAAGCCATGCCCATGCCAGAGGGTCAGGTGGAAGATAGGTCCTGGCTACAATAACCTGGCTCCTTCTTTTCCTTTAATGGAGCACAGAGAAATCTGTTCACTCCATAGTCAAAAGTGTGATAATTATAGAGTAACAAGCTCCACTGTTATTCCGGAGGCAGCATCCCCAGGAAATCTTGCTCTGCAATCAAGGAAAGAAGTGCAATCAGCCCCCTATTCAGGCTTTGTTTAGAAACAGCCCCTGTGGGAGGAAGGAGGCTTTGAGATGTTGCTTGTAAAGCAGGTGGTGAGGTTGGCTATAAAGTACTGTTACTACCAGAGGGGCTCAATGCAAGTTCTTAGCAAAATTTTCAGTCAGCCCCACCTAAAAAACCCAGGGAAGCCATAGGAAGGATCTATGTTTGATGATCTCCTCAAATTGTTCTAAGTAGTAATCTCTCTTCTGAACAGAGCGAAGGATATCAATGTCATTTTCCATGCTTCATGCCCTGTGTAACTTGAGAAGTGCAGGACTGGTCTCCATCAGGGCAAACTAACTGGTGCTCTTCCAATGTTCTGAATTACACTACTTACTTGCTGGTTTTGAAATGTAAGGCAACTAGAAGACATCAATTCTTCATCTCCTAGTCTAGACATTGGTTGGAAAATCATACCTTTTGAGGTATGTATACATGAAACAGACTTATTAATTTAACGATCAACATTACTAGCTCTGTCACTGTGATGGCGCATCTAAGAAAATGCCCTGATGTTATATGGCACAATATCTTTGTCACAATTAAACAAGAGTGAGACCTCATCCCAACAGCGCCTAGGTGAATAGCAGTAGGGCTCTAGAAGTACTCTTGCTCCTGTGCTTTTTTTTAAATGCACATCTAGCATGTGTAGCCATTCTGAAAAATTGAGCCGCTGCTGGCATCAGGCTAATAAGAGTAGGGTAGGGGAGATACAAGGAATTTTTCTATTACAACTCTTTACTCTATAAGGTCTTGGAACATCTCCAGAGGAAACTGAGAATTGAAGAGTTTGTGTTTGATGTCAGTTGTTGTGGGCCCAACCTTACTTATAGCCTGAATGAGTCAGCTGCCTGAGGCAGCAGATTTTGGATGTCATAAAAAGTTAGCAGTGTTAATTATTTATTTTGTTATTATTTCATTACTACTGCCAGAAATGGAGTTGGTGGATTTTCACCCTCATTTGCCAGAATAATTTTGCCAACTCTGAGTAATCTATGTACCTTGGGTGAGTGACTTTATTTACTGCTGTGCCTTAGGCAGCACTATATCTTGGGCCAATCCTGTGTCAGATGCCTACTCAGCCAGTAGAAGTTTTTGTGTATGTGTTGAAAACAAAATGCATAAGTCTTCTTGGACTTTCCTTGAATCCCCGTGATAATGGGATCCCGTGAGCACATTTACAGCACAGATTTAAAAGGTTTAGTATTTCCTCTCCTCGGGGAATTGTAATTTAAGAGGAAAAATAGGGATCTTAATTGGAATTCCAGAATTTTTGCCAACTTCCAGAATTCTTTAACAAAGCTAGGACATTTAATCAGAAGCATTTAATTTTTCAAGAGTTCTTGGAGTGGAGCTTTTCATTATTTGGAAGTAACATATCATACACAATTTTTCCTTTTGTTTGTTTGCTACAACAATAAATGCAATTCTTTTGTCAGCTACACCATCATTTAAATCCTTCAAGACATCATGGTATTATTGTTGAATGAGATAGAAATATTTGGAGGAAAAATATTTAGAGAAAAATTTGAAAAGGGTTTTAAAAGAGAAGCTGAGCAAAAAGAGGGGAAATCTCTGGGTATGGAAAGCACTTATTGGGTGATAAAACTTTACGTCCACTTGCAGCACTAAGATTTGCATTAGTTAATAGTAAATACTACCTTCTAATGCTTAATTTTGGACCATCCACTTAAGGAAATAGTTTTTGAAAACAATATCTAAGTTTGGGGGTTAAATTTGCAGATTAACATGCCCTGGTTGCAAAACCTGGCATAGTTGGATAGTTGTTGTTAAGTCATCTGAACCTCACCATTGCCAATCTGTTCTTCAATTTACCATTGCATTAGAGATGACAATGAAATCAGATCCCCATTTGTTATCTGGATATCCTCTACTATTCCTAACAATTATTCACTTGTCTATATGAACAGGTGATGACAGCACCAAAGGACCTGCAATGCTTGCTGTCATTTTCATTTCTGTATAGTAATGGAAGTGATAGAAGCAGGGAGGGATTTAGAAATTACTAAATCCAGGAAAAATCTTCCAAAGAGCTTTCTAAGTTTACATGGTGTATAATATCAAGTACAAGCTGTTTCCAAAATCCATACATCTGTGTTGTTTCTTGTAGAATTTTACCAAGTACTTCTATAAAAGATTTAATTATGCACGTTATGTATAATGGAACTGCATTTTGCCTTAATGAATCTGTGATACTGTAAATGGAATATGTAACTTTAGTATTGGTGGGGCTGGCTAAGTACTCACTTATATATCCTTTCCTTGTCCACAGAATAAATGAGCTTCTTGTAGTTTTGCCATCCAGTGACACAGGAATCAATCAATAGTTGAGTAATGGCTTGAATTCATTTGAGAGAATTATGCACTGCATTTTGCTATTAAAACGGGAACTATTGATTGAGTCCTATCAACTCCCAGCAAAAACCAGAAATCCAAGAAATAAGAAATGGTGTGAAACTATTTAATGCCTCAAGTGTCAAGGAGTGGTTGGAAAGGAGAGACATTCCTGCTTCTCTTGCTCAAAAGAGGATACTTCTTGGCACACCAAAATCTGAATGAGTGATTCGACAGAAGACAAGAGGAACAGAAGAAAGTTGCTAAAATTATCTGAATTAATTATTTTCTAATTGAGTTGAACTACAACTACCATAATTCTCAGTCAGTCTTGGAACTGTTTAAGCATTTGTCCAATAAATCCAGATCAATCAAGTTGGGGAACTCTACAAAAGGAATTCAGAATCATCTCGCAATACAGTCATTCATTGGTAGAACTCAAACTTGATTTGGCTTCTCCCACTTGATACCTTTATTTATTTTGTGTACAGTGGAGGTGAATTTTTGTTCTTGTTCTTGAGCAACCTGCAGCAAAGCCGAAGTGAGGATATATCCATGATTCATAACTAGATTAGACTTCTGAAGGACTTAACTTACCCTGGAAATTACATAGGAAAAAACTTGGGGAGATAAGTGAAAAGAAAGAAAGCATTTTAATCAGACAATGAAACAGTTGAATACTAACAGCAAACAAGAGCAAATTACACAGCAAATTAAATTTATGTTTTCAATGTTTGTTTTATACATTTACAAAGATTCTCACCCAGTCCAAGACAATATAGTCATTCTTCCATCTTCAACCTGGTTTGAACAGTTAAAAACAACTCAAAAACGTTACTCAAAAAAATTGTGGCAGAATTATGGCAGAATTTCAGCTAAATATTTATGATCTAAATGCTTTTAATGAATACACATCATAGTTACTCTTTTTTATTTCTCTGTCATGTAAGGCATTCAAAGAGTCTCTGGCCTTTGCTTTAACCACTATAACTTATTTTAGACAGAGGAAGATATTAAGATGAGCTGCTTATTTCATTAATTAACACTTTGCCCCAATTTTCATTTTCAGTGAAGACAATGACTATTTTTTTCCAAGATGATATGTGTCTAAAGCAATCTTTGACCAAACCAAAGCATACAGGAAATATTTAATGACCAAGCTAAAAATGTACAGCAAATATTGTGAAAATAGATTCAGAACCATGATTTATGAAATGGCATGCTGAACTAGCATAATATATTCTTCTTTTTATTTCAAAGATGATGAAGCTGAAATGACTAGACAAATGTGGCCAATCAGATATTTTTATACAAAAAAATCTCTCAGGAAGAAGTCTTACCTTCAGAACAGAGTTTCCCAATGTATCCAGTGGCTGAGCAATCACACTGTGGTTCACCATCCAGAAGAAAGCAAGTTCCACCATTTTCACAAGGATTCTCTGTACACAACCCTTCCATGTCCAGGCGGACTCCTTGGTGTCCCAGAAGCTGAGGTTCTGAATTGCCGTATTTCAGGTCCATGATAAATCCTTTAAATGATGGCTCACCCAGGACACTCTCAAGGGTTAAGGCTGCAGGACGGATATCTGATGGGACACCTCCCAAAAAGAGGTCACTAACAATATTCATATATTGACGCTGTGGACGCACCTCACCAGGTTTGGCTTCACCATCAAGAACCAGAACTGTCCGGAGATGGTTGCGACTAACCATCAAAAAATGTAAATTGCTGTCATTGACCTGCTTTTCTGTAACAACTGTAGCTTCAGCACAGTCTACACTGAACCGCAGCTGAATGCGTCCATCCATCAGGGATAAACAGAGAAAGTCGCAGACACCACCATCATCAAAGTAGAGAAGGAGCCCAGCTGAGATGTTCGTCTTCAATTGGAAGCTTAGGTCACTTCTTGTGCTTGCATCCCAGCGGAGGTAACGAGCCCACTGATTTGGAAGGCCCATAAACTCAAGGCCAAGACAGAGGCTGAGAAAGGTTCCCAACAATAAGGTCACCTTCAAGGTGAAAGAGGCAGAGTGGAGTGAAAAGTCCATTTTTGAAAGTAGTGCTTATTTTCTCCTTTGGGAAAACAAAAATATTAAAGCCACCTGCACGAAAGAGAATGGCTCTTTAACAGTCACTGAAGCCAGTAAATTCCACAAGAGAAAAAACTCTAAATTGGAGAGGTAAGATCTTACCTGCCCCTAAGAATAGAGAGACCTTTATCCAAGAAGGAGAGAAAATATTATGAAGATTTTCCAGGAGAAGCAATTTTGTAAGGGTTGGATTTCCACTTGTGGCCTTGTATTGCTGACCCTAGATTCTTTCAGTGAAAGGTAGAAGCAGTAGACAGCCTCCAAACTACAGCTTCTTAAAAGTCGTGGTGGCACCAAAACATGGATAGCAGCAACCTCATCCAGTCAGAGACTCCATGGATAGAAATGTTGAAGTCTATCTGCATTGTGTCTAGAAGATGACCCTATCCCCAATTCCTCACTTGTTGGCAATTGGATCCTAAAGAAAAAATGGGAGAAAAATACATTAGCTTTACTCATCACAAATTTGTTCATCTCATCATCAAAACATTTTACAGGGTTGACTAGAAGACATGTATTTGTCCAACTGCTGTTATTATGTATTTCTAGTTCCAGAGAAATATTCAATGTACACATAAAGCTGTATCATTTATCTATTAAAAATGTAATTCTAACTAACAAAAACATATTGCAACTGATACAAAACAAAAACAAAGGATGAAAACCTAATCACAGCAAGCCTAAGATATGTTACAAATTAGATTGGGAGTCATAGACAGGTCTATGAACACTGCAGAACAACCAGACACAAGAACAGTTTTTTCCCGAATGCCATCACTCTGCTAAACAAATAATTCCCTTAACACTGTCAAACTATTTACTAAGCCTGCATTACTATTACTATTCATCTTCTTATCCTTCCTTCCACCCATCTCCTCCCACTTATGACTGCATAAATGTAACTTTGTTGCCTGTATCATTATGATTTTTGACTGCTTATTTTTACTCTTTGACTACTATTAAGTATTATACTTATGATTCTTGACGAATGTATTTTTTTTCTTTTTCTGAACACTGAGAGCATTTACACCAAAACAAATTCCTTGTGTGTCCAATCACACTTGGCCAATAAAGAATTCTATTCAATTCTATTCTAGTTTAATATTAAGGACAGATTAATTAACAAAGGATTTTTATCATCTGAAACTGATCTGTAAGTTTTCTGAAAAGATACACAGAGGATTATAGACAATGAAGAAAGAAAGTTTGATATATAAGATACCTATTCTATTCTGTGTATAAGAGTAAACTGAACTGGAGGATGAATTTTATTTCAACCGTAACTAGAAAACATTGGCTTGAAGCATGAACTAAAACAGAAATTTTATAAGGCAAATAGATCACTGTACTTTCAGATGTACTACATTTCTTCCCTTTTGTCAAACTCGCATCATCATGGTGGTGGTCACGTGACGAATTGTGACTTCACTAAACCGGTCATGGGCATGGCCAGTGCGTGATGCATCTGGCCCACAGACCGCGAGTTTGACATTCCTGATGTATACCATGATACCAAACAAAACAAAACACTAGGAAAGCACTCTTTTTCTAATCCAAATATGATGGAAGCATTCACTGACTAACAAAAAACAATAACTGGAACAGCCTGGACCTTGTTAGCTTAACTGTTTAAAAACAAAAATGCAATCAATTATTGGAGAGTAGAACAAAGACAATGCCTGATAAAACCCCTTGCTTGCAGGAAAAAAAGCAGGATTGATGCAAACATCTTGAAATTATAGTGAAGAAAAAAGAAAAACTAGGGATGAGGAATTTGTTACATTGTTCCCCTAAATATGAGTCATTAGTTTAAAAGATGACACATGAAACCTCCTGTACCTAATTACTTATTTTGTTTCTCAGCCACTGAAGACACCCTGGAAAACTCAAACCCCTGAAAGAGCTCATAGCAGTTTGTTATATCCTTGGAATGTCACATTAACAAGAGAGGTCATCTTGCTCTTGAACACAAGTGCTTGCAGAACAGGCACATTTTTGGTGAATAAAGGCATCACTGATTTGGAAGGAACTATTTCGAAACAATCCCAAACTGTCTGGCAAATTATGATCCTTTTGTTATGTGCGGGTGCTGGAAGTTGGATTGAAGTTGGATTGAAGAAGTTGAATTGAAGAGATTAAGAACTTGACTTCTGATTTTGCAGAAGATAACCTGAATGGAAACTAAGCTCAAATCGTAACAGTGGTAAAAATGGCCTATTAAACACAGATTTTTCAAAGTATAAGTTCATGGAGAAAATGCAGAAAATTACATGCAGAAAATCATGCTCAAAACTTATTGACATTTTGAGTTTGTATTGCACACCATCAAATTTCTTCAGCACTAAAAGATTTAAATAGTAACAATTTTACCTCTTTTGTTTATCAGGTCATGTAATTATTGCTACTATAGATATAAAGAATCAGAGGTTGTTGAAAACATATAGCATCAAGCTTCTTTTTGCTGCTCTATATGTGTCTCAATATAGTACCTCAATATATAAGTACCACAATATATGGTACTTCACTTGGAGTAAGCCAAACTATTATAGAGGCTAAGGCATGGATTAGCATGTTTATTTTATGGTAGACCAGCTAGATGTACATTATTCTTTCCATTCAATTGGATATTTTTATGTGTAAATTGGACAGATTTGGTCTGTCCTTCAGTTGTTTAGTCTCTGGGAGACAATAAAACAACAATTCATGATGCAGACCAATACTGATGATATATATGCCACCAGCCAGGCCTCCATTGAACGCCACTTTCTTATTTTTATTCTCTGGAATATCAGAAATTAAGGGGAGCATTTTCATTGATTGCATTGCCAACAGCAGTAATGGAAGAACATTTTGCTGAAAATAATAATGAACAATCTCATCTGCCCTTACAGGTTTGATCAAGTAGAGTCCATGACTTTGTATTGTGTTCTCACTACAATGACAACCAACAGAAACATAGAAAAGTGATGGCAGAAAAAGACCTAGACGTTGATCTAATCTGCCCTTTTAGTTTTTTGTTGTTGCTGCTGCTGCTGTTTGTTTACTTGTAATTTATTTATTATTTTAATTATTTGTTTATTTTTATTTTTTATCAGGTGATGGACATGTGTTTATCCCAAGCATGTTTAAACTTAGTTACTGATTATTGACCCACTACATCTGCTGGAAATTTGTTCCAACCTTCCACCATACGTTCTGTGACTTTCTAACACTTCTTTTGAACTTCCCTCCTGTCAATTTGAGGTTTCGCCCTGTGTTTTTTATTTTTGCTTAAATATTGAAAATACTGTCTTCCAGAAACTTATTCACATTTACAATAAAATTAAATGTTTCAGTCATGTACGCAATTTCCCTTCTGACCTTCACGCTATATATATTCAGTTCCTCCAATCTCTCCTTATATGTTTTGTCCCTCAGACCTTGCACCATTTTTCTCAACTATCACTGGACTCACTCAATCACACACACACACACACACACACACACGTGTGTGTGTATGTGTGTGTGTGTGTGTGTGTGTGTGTGTGTATTCTGCTCACATTGCCAAGAGTTCGATTCCTTCAATCCTGACCTGCTCAAGGTTGACTCAGCCTTCCATCCTTTCCAGGTTGGTAAAATGAGGACGCAGATTGTTGGGGGCAATATGCTGACTCTGTAAAGCTCTTAGAGAGGGCTGTGAAAGCACTGTGAAGCAGTGTATAAGTCTAAGTGCTATTGCTGTTGCTAAATTGGGTCTGACTAAATGTTATAGAGTGGGCTTAAGGCCTCCCTTTTCTTGCTGATGATCCCTCTGATGAAGCATCCCAGAATTCTGTTTGCTTTCACAGCTGCTAGCTACACCTCTTACTCATTTTGCAGTGATTTGCTATGAGCACACCTTTCTTCTGTTATTCTGTCTAACACTGTACTCCCCACACACACAATACTGTACCCTGCCAGAGAATCTTTTTTCTTCTAAGTGCATGATCTTACATTTAGAAACATTCAACTTCAGTTTCTACAGTTTGAGCCAATTTTCCAGAAATGCCAAATCATTTGCACACCTTTATGTCATCAGCAAAAAGACAACCTTCTGTTATATCGCTTACAAATACACTGAACAGAATAGAACCTAGGACTGAGATGTATACCACCTGTGACTGGTCTCTGTTCAAAACATGTCCCATTAACAATCACTCACTGGGATCTATTCCTGAGCAAACTTCCTATCTACTGAACTACCCAGGGGTTAAGCCCTAGCCTGTACAACCGTTTTATTCACATAATGAACCCATTATGCAGTGTTCAGATCTACTGAATTCTCTGGGTGCACCTATGACATTTTTAATGTATTTTAATTGTCAGAAGATTAAAAGCCACATCTACAGAATTGGTAAATTTTGTGCAACAGTTTAATGACTGCTTTGATTTATTTACAGGACTGAATTTGTACACAGATGTCCAAAGTAATATCATTAAATGAAATGTTAAGAAAGTGATTTTTTAATGTTATGGCAATCTTAGAAAATCATAGTTTATAACCAGTGAGAAAGGTACAGCATAGTAATATCATAGTAATATGTGCCAGAATCTTAAGTGGATAGAGATGGTGAATTCTGCCAATTATCTGGGCAATTCTCTGCCAGCAGGGGATATAAAGTGCCTACTCTCTGACATAAAATTGTGTCTTTCTTTATAGAGTCAAAAGTGATTGTAATGATTCACAGCTATCATCTTTGATAGCAATGAATCTAGATAAGTTCTTCAACTCTGAATACCTCTTCTGGTAACATTAAATCAATATAGCATTGAACTGTGCAGTTTTGCATATTCTTTCTTCCTTTGTTCATAATTGCTCTTACAGAACTCAAACTTCTGGAAGAACATTTGTCAGAGGAAAAAAATCAACAATTTTACTATTAATATTAATACAATAGTTGTGGAAGAAAAAATACTTATACCTGAAGGTATTTCAGAACACGGAGAAACGGTTTTCTGATTCTTCAATATAAGCCTGTCAATCTTACACATGAATTAATTCTATTGCTTTTAAAGAAGAAATG